AGATCCAGCCCTCTCGCAATTCCCTATGTTATATACGACAATCCCCTGCGATATGTGAAAGCATTAATAGTTACATGCGATCTACGAGGACAAGATTGAAAATAATATCAATAATTCTCTGCAACATGCAATGTTTCCAACATTTACCCACAACATGCTAATACTGACAGTTCCCTGCGATATACAACAATCCCTAGAAAATGCAATATACCACAACCCCAACAATACCCTGCGGTATAACAACAACCCCAACAATACCCTGTGATATAACAACATCCCCAACAATACCCTGCGATATAACAACATCCCCAACAATACCCTGTGATATAACAATAACCCTAACAATACCCTGCGATATACAACAACCCCAACAATACCCTGCGATATAACAACAACCCCAACAATACCCTGCGGTATAACAACATCCCCAACAATACCCAGCGATATAACAACATCCCCAACAATACCCTGCGATATAACAACAACCCCAACAATACCCTGCGGTATAACAACATCCCCAACAATACCCTGCGGTATAACAACAACCCCAACAATACCCTGCGATATAACAACATCCCCAACAATACCCTGCGGTATAACAACAACCCCAACAATACCCTGTGATATAACAACATCCCCAACAATACCCTGTGATATAACAACATCCCCAACAATACCCTGCGATATAACAACAACCCCAACAATACCCTGCGATATAACAACATCCCCAACAATACCCTGCGATATAACCCAACCCCAACAATACCCTGCGATATAACAACATCCCCAACAATACCCTGCGGTATAACAACATCCCCGACAATATCCTGCGATATAACAACATCCCCAACAATACCCTGCGATATAACAACAACCCCAACAATACCCTGCGATATAACAACAACCCCAACAATACCCTGCGATATACAACATCCCCAACAATACCCTGCGATATAACACAACCCCAACAATACCTTGCGATATAACAACAACCCCAACAATACCCTGCGATATACAACATCCCCAACAGTACCCTGCGATATAACAATAACCCCAACAATACCCTGCGATAAAACAACATCCCCAAAAATACCCTGCGATATACAACAACCCCAACAATACCCAGCGATATAAAAAATAAATAAAACTAGAATATATAAATGTAGAACAGCAAAAAAATAGATTTTTTACTGCTCTGCTTTCTTTTTGCCCTATTGGTCACTATATCTCGTTGGGGGGAAATGTTCCTACCGATGTCCAGTGAATTATATGTAATAAAATATTTATATTGTGTATATATTTCGCAGTTTACTGATTGGCCCATTTTCACACTGTTTTGTTTTGTGTGATTTTTTTTTTCCAAAATCTTTATTTTTATTAACAAAATTTGTTGAGCTGAACCGCCAAGATTCCTCGTCTTGAATGTTTATTTTATTTTTAGGTGAAATGTTTCTATTCTTTTAAATCCGCTATTTTTCTGTATAAGTATATGTTAAGCATAAAATATAGAAAACGCTTTACTTTCCACCACGAGCTCCGTCATCCTTTCGAGTGGCTGCTTTCATTCGTCCCCTTTTGTTAGACATCGGCATAACTCCTCAAATTATCTCTACAGCAAGTTATTTATGGTAATCAATGAATTGCCTGGTACGAGGGACCTGAGTTTATTTCACAGTCATTTGTCAGAGTTTAGGGTGAAGATGTTTTTAACATGGCGCATATAATATCCGCTGATTGATGGATTTTACGGCATGATATAAGCCCTGTCAGGAATTGATACCGTCTGTTTATGAGAAAATATAGCTACAAATTCATTCTGTAAACGTTTAGAAGCTGCAGTTTTGAAGCTCTAAATTTCAAGTTATAAATATTAGTTTCTGAATTATGAGTCAGTAATTCGATGAAATGGGATCATATTCTACGCGGAAAAGTTTAAACCAAAGTCTCATGTTTCAAATAAATGAATGCGGCAAGACGTTATTCAATGCTAATGATGTTAAACAACTTATAAGGCTTATTATTAGTGCCGAGAGTGTTTAAGATGTCTGTATTCATTGCAGAGAATGAAATGTTGTACGATTGACCTCGTTCCCTGAGTTCCTTAGACGATTACCGACTGGTTCAGGAGCAATCGAAGGGAAATGTCCAGGAAATCATAAGTCCAGCTTTCTTCACTGGAATCTGGGATGTGAGAGGTTAAGGACCATGAGGAAAAAAAAAAGCTTTATATGATTTCTTTTGGGTAATAACAAATTTTTGTCAAGTTTCTAGATTTTCATGAGCTTGTGGCAACAAGGGCAGAGTCTGTTTAATAAGACATCCTGCTTCTCGGATACAAAGTTTCAAAAAGGAAGAAAGGCGACTGATAAAAGCAAAGGATTTTTTCTATGTCATATGAGTTTTCATCTGTTCCTCTCTGCCTGTAGAATAAGGGACAACAGGGGACTCGGGGCCACAAACCTTCAGTCCCTATGCTCCCTTCCTGAAAGAGAAACAGGAGCATCAAACAGAATGGAAGTGACAGAACATACCCAGCTGAAAGCCATTGTGGATTCTTGCTTTAGGTCACATTCACAACGTACTTTGCATCCCAGAGAAGGATCTTCTTATGTAACATTTATGGACTATAGCAGTTTATTTTGAATATAGTAAGAAATATCAGAAAATCCTTTGGATACTTTAAGTGTAACTCGTGGTGCAGATAATAGATATTATCTGTCGTATTCACTAAATGTATTCGCACATTGTCAGGTAGGGAGAGACGGTTTCGCAACTTGACCATTTATTTACAATCTTTGCCAATTAAATTGTTGCCATGTGCT